CGGCTGCTCAGCTCGGGCTGGCATCGAACCGCTGTTGCTCAGAGCTCAAACTCTTGAGCGAGCTCTTAACCAACTGAGCCACTCGGCCGGCCCTAATTTGTTAAATTTTTAAAAAATCTTATTGGGATTTGATTAGAATTGCATTTAATTTATAGATTAATTTGGAGAGAAGTGCCATGTTTACAATATATGTCTTCCCATTCCTAAACTTACTATATCGCATTTTGGGTTTTTCAAAATGTCCTTCAATAGTGTTTTATAAACTCACGTAATAAAGATGGTTATAAGAGTGCTGCCCGCTTGCTTCATTGAGAACTGCATTATTTAAGGGAATGGATATGATAGCCATTCTGTAATGCATGTAGAGAAATGTTTCAAAACGTAATAAAAATGGTTATAAGAAAAAAATAGTGTTTTATAAATTTCTCTATTTTTACACATCTTTCATTTCTTAGATACCTTACCTTTTTGTAGCTGTTATAAATGGTAACGTTTTAGGATTACATATAATTCAATATTGCTGGTGTTTGGGAACACCGCTGATTTTTATTTGCTGAACTCTACTGGTTTATCTAGTTTTAATTAGATTCTTTTAAATGTAGATAATCAAATCATTTCCAAGTAATGAGGGGTTTTGTCTTTTCTCGAACTTTACACATTTTTTTGTCTTATTACATTGATTAGAACCGTCAGTGTTTAATAGTAGTGGTAATAAATGGTCACAATATTTTAAAATTATGAATAAATGTTAGTTTCATCAAATATTCCTTTTGTATCAACTGAGACCTTATATTTATTTAAACAACTTTATTGAGGTATAATTCACATGTTTGAATTTTGACAAATGTACAAACCTATGTAAGCATCACCACAATCCAGACATAGAACATTTTCTATCACTCACGAAGTTCCCCTGTGTCCCTGGATCATGTCCTCTTTGTCTCTAACTGTAATAATATGGTGAATTAACACTGACAGGTTTTTCTGATCGCTTTCTTTGCATTCATACAAAACCACCACTTTCTCATTAAGTATTTTTCCTTTCATACACTGTTGAATGAAATTTACCTGTATTTTATTTAGTATATTTTCCTATAGTATAATTGCATCCACAGTCACACACACACAAATGAACGTGGTGTTTTATAACGTACTGTCCCTTTCCATTTTTGACATCAAGGTTATACTGCCATCATAACACTTTGTAAATGTAGAGGCTGTTTTTCAAAGGGAGGATAAGATTCATCTATAAACTCTCTGAGCCGTTTGTGTGTGTGTGTGTGGCGGGGGAGGGCGGCAGATGATATGTGACTTAACTGATTTAGTACTTTTCTTTTTTCTGGTTCATATAAATGTTTAGTGTGTATATGCTTTGGGATATGCTTTTGTAATTTTCTATATTTATCCAATGGTGTTTTGGACAAAGACGGGGAGTTTGTGAACTTCCAAGCCAACTTGACTAGAAGTCTAAGATACTTTTAAAAACACAAATCAGCTTTCATTCCTCTGCTTAAAATCCTAAAATATCCCAATTTAAAAATATATATAATAAGCTTCAAACTTCTTAGCATTCCCTTACATGAGGGGCTCCCACTTACCTCTCCAGATCATTCCAGGCACTTGTCCTTTTTGCTCTAGTCTAGCCCATGGTTCATCTTTCAGTTCTGTGCAAGTGCCTCGCTTTCACACATGCTTTGCGCCAGTGCCTTGAAAGTTGCCATCTTCTCAGTTTTTCCTTTTCGTTGAACTGCTACCTCCTCAGAGAGGTATCTTCCCCACGCACCCTAATTAAAATAGCCTCTCTTCAGTTCTCTATCATAACACTTGTTTGTTCCCATAATAGCATTTGTTACAATGCATGAGTATTTGTGTATTCCTTTGTGTATGCTCGCTCACAAAACTGAAAGCTCGGTGAGCTTTTTTACTTGAGTTTGCATTATATGTATGTAGCCAGCGTATAGCACCATGCTCAGTAAATACTGAATGACGTACTCATCCATGCATTCAGCGTATTTACTGAATGTCGACTATATGCCAGAACTGTTCTCTGGGGAGGAGCAGCAGCAGCAAGGCCCTTGCTCTATGGAGCTTACGTTCTAGTGGGAACAGAAAAGTATAAACACATCTAAAAGTGAATAAGTCACGTCAGTGCTAGGGTGCTGCGTCTAGGTGATGGGAAACACTTTTCTGAGGAAGTAACAAGAAGGAATTTATCTTGTGACAAGAGGAAGAACATTTCAATTAGGAGAGCTAGAACAAGGTTCCCAAGTCAAGAATGGGCTTGAATATTTATGGAACCAAAGACCACCGAGGCTGTAC